GGAAGGAGCTGTAAAACCAGCTCCCCACAAAAACTGGGGTTTGTGATGCCTCTCTTCATGTCACTGCAAGCATGGGCCAGATGTCCTTTATTGTTCTTGTGTTAGCTAACAAACAAATTGGACAGTTTGAGTCTCAAGCCTTTGAGTAGAGCAAAAAAACGAATCCAAATATCTGTCCACAGCTTTCCTAGAGAATTCAAGGCTGGGAATCTCACGGAGCACCTAGTTAATTTTTCATGAGGCAGCTCTGCTGCTGAGCCACACTGTCATGTCCCTGGTACTGGTGCCCTGGGGTGGATGTGCAGCCTTGTCCAGAGCTGCTCCCTGGAGCCCTACACAGACCGAGAAGCCCTGATCCCTCAGCAGCAGGGATGCACCAGTCTCTCAGTTGTCCCAGAGGGATGCCAGGGCAAACCTTGGTTTCCTCAGGCAGACAGGCCATGTCTGAATGATGCCATCAGAGGGAGAGCAGAGCAGATCCACCTCATTTTCCATCCATAGCTAGGATGTTTCCCCAGCCTGCTCTGACTGGAGCCTGCGGATCAAGGTCTGAGACTCTTCTTGGGGGTACGTGCCCCTTGCTGTCTGCCTGACAGCTTCGTTTCAGGTGATCCAAGCACAGGGAACTGAGGCAAGCATGTCTGTTCACACCAGTCCTATTCTTCTCCCTTTGACCAAATCCGTTCTGGTTTCTGTCCTCACTCAGTAATTTGGCTCTGTGTTCCTGGGGCTTTGAAAGTCACTTTAGCGAGACCTGGACATCACCCTGTCATTCTCTTTATGGGAATCTGCTTCGGTTTTTCCAAAATATCCAATGGTCAGAGACCTCTGCATTCAGCAGCCACTGGGGAGAGGCCAAGTTACTGTCATGCCTGAGAGGTCACTGGGCAGGAGCTGTTCCCAGAGCTGCCACCCTGCCCCTTCCCTGTGCACTGACCAGTGTCGGGGCTGTCTTTGTGGTGATTCAGGTTTTGGACAGTGGCTCCTGGACCATGAAGCGATTCAGGATAAATGATAACTTAATACCATCTTGTTAACACCCTCGTCCATCTTATCAAAGGTCATGATCTCACCATGACAGCTGGGCTTTGTGCTCCAGAGGTCCTGGCTGATCAGGTTGCAAGGAGAGTGACAACTCCTTCAGTGCTTTGATTATCTTTGTCACCCCTTCCTTGGCCTTTAACTGAGGTATTTTTTCAAAGCTTGAAATAATGTGTGTCCAAAGCTGGCTAATCTGCTGGAAATATTTATTTCCAAGTTTACAGAAAGTATTAACACTGAGCAAGCAATTTTTCTGGATTATTTTTCAGCAGAGCTGGGGAGCAGCCATTGCCATCCACTCCTGTTGTCAATGAGCACATCAGGGAGTGAAGAGTTCAGCCCAGTCCCTTTAGCTGATGCATTCTCCCTTCAGCACAGACAGCTTTTGCTGGGCTTGTCAGGATGTGCCCCATTTGGTGTGGGGCCCATGGAGGGAGGTTTCTTTTCCCTGCCCCAAAGAGCTGCTGCAGCATCTCTGTGTCTCCTGGGCAGCAATCAGGGCAGGGGCCTGCAAGGAGGAGGCAGAAGAGCCTGGGCAGCTGCAGCACATCTGTTGCATGGGGTGGTGTGCCCACAATGGGATCAACAATCCTTCCAGAACTTCAGAAAGGCCCCAAACCAACAAGTTCTGCCCTGGGAGCTTCCAGGTCAATGGCATCAGGCTCTCAACAGTGTCTTCCTGTTAAAGCACATCCCACCTCCAGCCCTCTGGAGCACTCTGAGCAGAGGTGATGGACTTGGAAGCAATTCCATGCCAGTTAGATAAGGACAGCATTTCCCAGTTAGATGGTGTTTCTCCAAAGAGTCTGTCAGCCCAGGCTGTCTGTTAGACTGTGATACTGATCAGGCTGTAGGCAAGTTGGATGGGAATGCTGGGCATGTCCTGGTGGCCTGGACAGGGAATATCCAGCTCTATTAATGTCTCCACAGTCCGTCTTTACACTGGAAAAGGTGCTGCCTGGTCCTTCATTTATCATAACACATGGCACATCCCCACACAGGGGCTTACTGCTCAGCACTGCAGCCCTGAGAACTGCAGGAGTATGAGCAGCCAGGGGTGGCCAGTGTTTTGACATGTTTTTCAGTCAGAACATCAATTTTATTTAGAAGGAAAAAAGAAAGAAAGGTATTTTATCAGGGCATGACATCTCAGCCACGTCCTCATCCAGGCAGGATGAAAGGATGATGTACCACACCAGGCACCCAGGGCTGGCTGGGTCTGCACCTACAGGTTGCTCAATGATTTACCTAACTTCTAATATCTCCAAGGAAATATTTGCAGTGGAAGTCACCAGAAACAAGACCTTGTTTGTTTTGCTCCCCACCAATTATTTTGGATGTCCCAAATGACATCACCTGCCTTTTTCCTGCTGTGAAGCTCTATATATGAAGATCCTGGGTCCCCTTGATCTTCAGAAGACAGGGACATTGGCTGGAGAGAGAGCTTGGTCAGGTAAGAGCAAACTTATTCCTCAAAAAGTGTGCTCCTTGCTTCTGCCTCTGCAAACCCTCAGTGTTCCTTTGGGAGTGTTGGCCTTTTAACAAAAATTGTTATTCTTGCCTGCTGCTTGCCTGAATCCTGCTCTCAGAAGTAAATGGTGCCTTTCAGTGCAAGTTTCTCCAGAAGAGATCTGTGTGTTCATTGGATTTGCAGTCCTTGCAGAAGAAAGGGTATTTCAGGGTTTTCATAAACAATTATCACTTCAATTATCTTTGGTATAACTCGATTATCTGCCATAGATTTCTAGCTAAGGTGAATTAGACCTCTCACACTTGTTTTGATCCCTTTTTGATGAGTTATTTACATTTAAATAGATTTGGAGCAATGAAGTTCATTTTGGTTCTTTAAAAAAGGAAAATAAGCTACTTCAAGTTGTAGGTACCACAGAAATATTTCAATGACATTGAAATGTTAAAGTTTACTTTCTCTTTCTTACAATTCTATCAGGTGTTTCCATGCAGATGGAAGCCTCAGAATCTGATGTTTGTGCAGAAATCATGACATTCTCCCTGGAGGTTCTCTCCTTGCTCGATACATTTCATGTATTTATACTCATGTAGATGTTGTTGTTTTTCTTCTAGAGACAATCATGTTGTCAGAAATGTCTTGTTTTCCCCTTCTGTGGCATGCAGGATGTGTTTCTTGGAGAAATCCCCATCCGGGATGGATGAGTCCCAGATCACACAGCTCAGTCACGCCATTGCTCACCAGCACGGGGGGGTCACAGCAGGAGCATCCCGACCACCCTTTGCTCTCCCCTTGGCCGCTCTGGCCATCGGTCTTTGGAGTAACTGGTGCTGACACTCTGGTTCCGTCCGCAGGAAAGAGCCACCAGGAGAGTCACTGTCCATCATCACCATGTGATGAGGAGGCAGGAGAGATGCCAGCAGCCTCCTCCCCGATTTTGTCTTCCCTGACAGCAGTTCCTTCTTCCTCCCTCCCTCCTTTCTCCTCCCTCCCTTCTCTTTCCTCCCTCCATGGGCTGGTGCTCGCTCTCCCAGCACTGCACTCATGGCAATCACTTCCCACAGCTATCAGGACTGAAGATGTCGGTGTTGTGGACTGTTGTCCTGCTCAACAGCCTGCTGATCCCTTCACAAGGATTTATAATCCCATTAGCAGTTGCCAGACCAGATACGAATGGTAAGTGTATGCAAGGGACAGGATTTATCCTTCTTTTGAGGCCAGTTCTGCTCTTTTTGTCTCTTAATCATACTCAGAAAATCAGAAGCTGGTGCAGATCTGCCCAGCAGCAGCGGCAATGCAAGTAATTTGCATTTATAAAGCAGTTTGGAGATGGCACTTCAGTTACTTTACAGAGGCTGGTGCCACCACCTCTTTTGTGTGAAGAGGGAGAGGGGAGGGAAGAGCCAGGCTGGCACACCTTGTGTAGCTCACAGTGACCTCTGATTCTGTTCTTCAGGTTTTAAAGGTTCACCAGCCCAAGATGTTCCCCAGAGAGCTTCAAGTGGTCTCCTAGGTGGCAATCTGCTTGGTGGTCTCCTTGGAAAAAAAGGACTTGTTGGAGGTCTCCTTGGTGAAAATGGTCCTGTAGGCGGTCTCCTTGGAGAAAGAGGACTTGTTGGAGGTCTCCTTGGAGAAAATGGTCCTGTAGGCAGTCTCCTTGGAGAAAGAGGACTTGTTGGAGGTCTCCTTGGTGAAAATGGTCCTGTAGGCAGTCTCCTTGGAGAAAGAGGACTTGTTGGAGGTCTCCTTGGTGAAAATGGTCCTGTAGGCAGTCTCCTTGGAGAAAAAGGACTTGTTGGAGGTCTCCTTGGTGAAAATGGTCCTGTAGGCAGTCTCCTTGGGGAAAATGGTGCTGTTGGTGGTCTCCTTGGTGGAGATGGTCTCCTTGGTAGTCTCCTTGGAGAAAATGGTGCTGTTGGTGGTCTCCTTGGTGGAAATGGTCTTCTTGGTGGAGATGGTCTTCTCAGTGGTCTCCTTGGCCAGGATGGTGTAGTTAGTGGTCTCCTTGACCAAGATGGCATCCTGGGTGGCATCCTTGGCAAAGGTGGTGTTGTTGATGGTCTCCTTGGCAAAGACGGCCTTGTTGATACTCTCCTTGACACCGTCCTTGACCTCCTCATTGGCAAGAACGGTCTCCTCGGCAGGAACGGTCTCGTTGGCAGCCTTCTTGGCAAAAATGGTGAAGAACTCATTGGGTGAGTGCAAGTGGGAGATGGTGACCCTGAGCAGCCTTGTGTGTCTGAGCCGTGCTGGGGAAAGGAGGTCCTGTTCTGGAGCCTGCACGCACAGGGCTCCCTCCCTCCCTCCTCTCCTGGGGCGGGTTCATAAATGGGGGTTCATCTCTTGGGAGTGAACTCTGCCTGGCATCTCAGGGTGCTTTGTATGTCCCACAAGCTGCCCCTGGCTGGTGGGGATGCCTGATGACCCAGGGGGAAGAGGACCCCAAAAGCACAGCTGCAGTGCTGGGGGCTGAGGGGACAGGGCTGTGCAAATGTGCTGTTCACTGCCTTTTTCCTTGTTGCAACCATCCAGACTGAGAATTGTGAACAACACCCTCCCCAAAATCAGTCTGCGCTCCCTGCCGGGCTTCGGGCATCAGGTGGACTTCAAGACGCAGCTGCTGGTAGAGAGCAGGTAGGGCATGTCCATCAGGGGATGGCTTGGGGCAGGGGGCACCATCCCTTTGGAGAGAAGATGGTCAGCAGTGTCCTGAGCTGCCTGCTGTGCTTCCCCTGGGCAGCGTGCCGGGCCAGCCACTCTGCCAGCAGGTGGAGGTGGATGCGACCATCCTGGTCCGGGACACGTGGACGCCTCACCAGAACGCTCTGAACTGCGAGACTGTTGACATGAACACCCATGTGAGGTAGGAATCAGGTGTGAGGGAACATCTGTGTGAGCAGGTGGCCCATGGCCACCCCATGGCTCTTGTGGCAGTGGGACACCGTGGTGCTGTTGGTCATTGATGGCAGCAGCTTTCTGCCTGGTGCCTTGAAGGTGATCCAGCTGTCGGGCTCAGAGGGGAACTGTTGACCTTTTTCTAAACTTCTGGCTATGTAAAGAACATTTCTGGGTGTGGGGAACCTAGCACTGGGCACTGAGAATGGACAATGCAAGCAAGGCCTCACATTTCTCTTGTGTGAGGTCTCCTTACTTTACAGCATTAATCTTTGTCTCCTGCCATTTCCTGTTTTCCTGTTACCAGACCCAGAGTGCCAGTTCTGGAAGAGCCTTTGAAACGCCTGCTCAGCAATACCCTGAAGGATCTGGTGAGTCTGCAGAGCCACCTTCATGCACAGAGCCGGGTGGGCAGGCAGCACTTTGGGCAGGGCAGGCAGGAGGCCAGGCTGCCCCATGGATGTGGATATTTGCACAGCTGTGAGCTCAGCGGGGCGGTCAGCCTCTCCTCCTGCTGAAAGGCAGCACCAGCACCAGAGCCAGGCTCTGCTGGCAAACAGATTTCTGAGCCAGGCGCTGGTTTAGCAGCCACTAACCCACGTGAGACACACGCTGGCTCAGAGGGGCGCTCACCCACAGGATGCTGAGTCCTGTGTGATGGGATGTGCCCCCCAGCACTGCCTGCAGCAGCCCTGCCCACATGTGCAGCCCAGCAGAGCCCCCTGTCACTGGCTGTGTTGGTGCCATGTCACCCACTGGTGCACCGGGTCCCAGGACCCTCTCACTCCCCTCTGCTTCCCCAGGGCTGCAACATCATCAACGCCAAGCTCAAGGTGTTGAGCTCCCTGCTGGGCTCCAGGAACCGTAAGTTGACACCTCCTGTTTTTCCTCCTCCCTGTCACATCCTGCCCTTAGCATTGTTTGGTTTTTTACATTTGGTAAATACAAATATTTTTGTAATTTTCTAAAACCACAGCTCCCAGCTCAAACCCAACATTCAGTTTCCCTGCCCCAGCAGTGGTAGCCAGCTCTTCCAGCAGAAACCCACCACTGGAATGGTTGCTTTTAGAAACAACACTGTTGCTGCAAAGTATTGTTTTCTAGTGGCTTTTCTAGCTGGGAATGCTGTGAGTGGGAGCTGCTGCTGGTTCCAGTAACTCCTGGGACCGTGGGATTTGGCAAAATCCCTTGCCATTGCAGCTGAAGAGCTTTCTTCCCTGTGTTCACAGAGGTGCTCCCCCTCGGGGCCCTGGGGGACCTGCCCTCCTTCTCCATCCTCAGTGGTGATGCCATCCAGGTGGATCTGAACGTAAGTGCCACTGTATTCCCTGCTCCCAAAACCTTTGACTTTGATTCATTGGAACACGGTGGATGTTTATCAAAGGCTGCTCACATTTCAGCTGCCTTCAGGCACTATTCACAGGAAGGTTCTGATGAGTCTGCTCCAGCCACATCCCTGCTATTGCCACTGCTGGTCTCGTGCTTATTTTTTGCCTGTTAATCATTGATGGTTGCATGATCAAGAGTGGCTTGATGCTACTTAATTAAGCATAATTGTAGCACTCTCATAGTTTTTAATCAGAAAAGTTTAATTTCATACAGGAGCAGCAGTCACTGCTTGCAGGCATGTTCTGCTTATAAGTGGTTTGTCAAAGTTTGGTAATTGACAGGGACCAGAATCATGCATAAAATATCAGCAATGTGTGTTTCCAATCAGGATACGTGGCAGTGTTTCAGTGGGGAAGGTGCAGCAGATGCAGCCCTTGCCTGTGCCAGAGCAGCCTGGAGCAGCCCTGTCTCATTTAATGCAGACAAACCTCATGGGAGGCTCTCCCCGAGGTGCACAGGCAGGCAGGGTGCCCAGTGCAGCCCTGAGCCCCACCAACGCCCCTCCCTGCTCTGTCCCCTGCAGCTCCTGTCTGAGAATGGCAGGGATGGTGTGATGCCCCCCACGCAGGAGCTGCCCCTCAGTGCCAGCCTGCAGCTGGCCACCGGCCGCCGGCCCCGGCTCAGCCTCTCCCAGGACACCCTCAGCGCCCTGCTGGAGCAGGGCCAGGGCCAGGGTGCCCTCAACCTGAGCATCACCAGCCTGGCGGGCAGCAATTCCCCTCTGCAAGGCCAGGTCAGTGTCCTGCCTGCCCTTGGGTGCCCACCTTTGCCTGCTGTGTTTGTGGGGTCCAGCTGAGCCTGGTGTGGGCTTTGCCCAGCCCCTCCCGGGCAGCAATGACACCAGTGCTGTTCCCACAGGTCACCCAGAGCAGCTCGCTGACCGTGTCTGCCCTTTTCCCCTTCATCCCCCAGGTCAGTCACCTTCTCCATTGCATTGGCTCCAGCCCCTCACTCACCCCACCCCTGCCCTGACCTCCTCTGTCCCTGCAGCTCAGCCGGGCCCTCCCTGGCTCCCTGCCCCTGGAGCTGCGTGTCCGAGTGAGGGATGAGCCAGTGGTGGCTGTGAGGGATGGAAGGGCCACTGTCACCCTCAGAGCCACTATTGACGTCGCCAGCCCTGCCCTGCAGACCCCCCAGGGGCTCCTGTTCTCCGTCGATGAGGTGAGTCAGCTCCTGGGGGATGAGAGGCCTGCAACAGGGCCATGGCTGAGGCTGGAGCACTGCTGCCATCCCCTTGGCTTGCCCTGCCCTTGGCCCTGCAGCGTTTGTGCTTTTGTATTTACTGCATCATCAAAGCGGTGATGCCCAGCCCTTTAAACAAGCTCATAACCAAGCACAAAGTGTAAGTGAAATGTTTCAGGAATAACACAAAATAAAGACAGGAAGGCAGGCCCTGGGGAGAGAGATACATGATGCCATCTGTCACGAAAATGTGGCTCCTCGGCACAGACAAGTGTTTTTTCTCAGAATGGGTAATTTACAAATACACTTTTCAGTCTTGGGAGCTGTGCAGGGGAATAACCTCATTTCTTTCATTGTTCCATTTCCAGGACATCGTTCTGAACATCACCCCATCAGTCTCTGATGGCAAACTGCAAACCTCCCTGGCTCTTGACAGGTAGAGTCCAGCTCTGCGGGAGGGGGGCTCTGCCTGGGGACAAATGGGGCTGGTGGGGACAGTGATGTAGACATGGTAAAGATGTCAAGGCTGCTGGAGCCTTCCTGCCTCCTCCCAGCGCCAACCTCAGACCAACTGCGCAGTTGACGTGATGAGAGAATTGTAAAAAAGCTGTTCTAATTTTACAATCCTGTATCTTTATGAGGGTGAGAAAACTTCCAGACTGAGAAAGGGCCTGGAGGAGGCTGCACCAACACACCCCAACTGTTCCTTGTTTTTATCTTTTGTAGCATCAACCCGACACGGTTCCCCCAAAGCCTTGATGCTGCCAGTGTAAGTGCATGCATGGGGTGGAGGTGCTGCAGTGAGTGATGCAATGGCCAGAGGCTCTGTGTGGGAGAGGAAATCCACAAGCTCATTCTTCACTTTTCATCCTTCTACTTCTCTTGCCAGAGAGCAATTTCCCTCTGCTCTGCAGATCCCCTGTGCTCTACAGCAGTGACACTAGGGTGTGTCTCCTCACTTGGGGGTGCTGGGAATGGGGGAGGAATAATTAAAAAGAAATTAGCCAAAGAGCATACCCACCCTCAGTCCTGGGAGTGTTTCAGTGAAGGAGGATTCCTAGTTCTTGTATTTGATAGCAAACTGAGTAGAACTCAGCTGATCACCCTGACATGGCCCAATAACCATTGCTCTGACACATCCTCTTCCCTGCAGGCCTCCTCGCTGGCAGAATGGCTCAAGAAGGTCCTCACAGCTGTTTATGTACCTTCTGTTCAAGGTATGGGGGTCAGGGTCCCCTCTCATCTCAGATCCAGCTGGATTTGGGGCTCTCCCCCTCCCCTTGCTGCCTTCATTCCGGGTTTCATCCCTGTGATGAGATTCCTACACCTGTTTTTGCAGATGCCCTCCGTGTGTCAGTGCCACTGCCCAACGTCCTCAACACCAACCTCAGGAACGCTGAAGTTGCCATCACTGATGTAAGGATTGAGTTTTCCCACTGTGCTGTGTCCTGGGAGTGGGAATGTGCCCACTTGGGGCTGAGACATGCAGATCCCACAGCCTCCCATCACCCTGGCCAACCTCATTTCCCACGGGCTGCTCTCAGTTTCCCTCTGCTGGTTTTCCACAGGAAAACCTCACCTGGGATACAGCAAAAAGCTAGTGAAAGTCTGAATGAGAAAACTGAGTTGTTTTTGTTCTACTTCTTCCAGGAGGATGAGTTTTCCGGCCAGAGCACTCTGGGAAGATCCTGCTCGGGGGGAACCTCGTTGCTGCTCCCTTTCTGAGGCATCACATGCACCCCAAGCCCTGCTCTGCTCCACTCTCTCCCTCTTCCTTTCTCTCCAGTGCTGCTCTGTGCTGTGGCTGTGGCCTAAGCAGGACAGACAGCAGCCTCTGGCTTGGCTGTTGGATGTTTGGGGGTTCCTGTGGCCCTTTTTAACATCCACAGCCAGAAGGCAGAGAGCTCTTAGGCACATAGGCTGCTCTCGTATTGCTCTTTCAATAAAATCTCTCCCTGTCACAGTATTTTCCTCTCTGGATATTTATTTATATGATTTTCTGGCTCCCCACAGCTGTTTACCTGCTCCATGCCCCTGTGCCACATGGCACACAGATGGGTGGGGAGGCTGTGCCTTCAGAGGACAAACTGGGACCTAGAGAGAGCATTTCTGGAGCTCAGCCTGTGGCACCAGGTGTGAAGCAGCCTCTCAGAGGGGCACTGGGTTGGGAGCAAGTGGGTGCCCTGGTGCAGCCCAGCTCTCCTGCCTGACTGGTGGGGGACAGAGGAGAGTTTGCAATGCAGTGGTGGCACAGCTCTTGCTGATCTCTCCCTCTCCTTTGGAGCCCTTTGGAGCAGCTCCTGCTGGCAGCAGGTCCCACATGGAGCCTGCTGGGGCTGGTTGTGCAAGGCTCTGCACAGATAACGTGAGCACACACTCCGTGGGGATTTGTTTAGGTGTGTATTACCCCTTTGTTGTGTAAGACACACCAGGAATGTCAAAAAAAGCACATTTGATCTCACAAAGGTATTAAGTGTTGAGGACACCGAACAAAGGTGCCATTATGGCCAGGAGTGGCTGTGGAGGTGTCCCAGCACAGGGGTTTTTTGGAGGAAACACCATCTGCTGGTAAGGAGCTGGCAGCTGCAGGAGGGGTGGGACAAGCCTCAGGAAACACTCCTTGAGGTTCCTCAAGCAGTAAAGGAGAAAAAAATCTCTTGGTACCATTCCAAAGCCTCCCCACGCACTTGCTGGAAACTTTAAAAATTCCCCCTGCTGTGGTAACCTGTGTGTGCCAGCACCTGGGCAGGTGCCAGCAGGGATTTCTGTGGAAGAAACAGATTTCCCAGCACTTTCCTTCAGGTGAGTGCAGCCTCACGTGCTGCAGCCACAGAGTCTCACACACCTTTTCCTTCCCTTTTGCCCTAGGCTCTTGGGAACAGTGCTGCCTGATACTGGCTGTCCAGCAACCTGCTGCTCAATGCTTTACCCTGGTTCACAAGTCATTATTTATAGTGGAATATATGAAACTCACAAATGGTGTTTTACACCTTCAATCCACTGGCCAGCTTTGGAAATTCAAGCACCTTTCCACTTTTCCTGCAGCATCCTCACCATAGAAAGATCTGCTGTGTGGGTTAAAGCAGAGGTGCCCATGGACCAGTATAAGGTCTCACTTTAGGAGGAGCTGAGCAAAGCCAGGCTTGAAATTCAAGATAAGGTCAGGTAAATAAAAGGAGTTCAAAAAGTGGTGCAAGGTACTGTGAGCTTTGTTTTACCCCCAAACCTTATGATATACTCCAGTGAGCCAAGAAAAAACATGGGAATAAATACAACAATAGTAGGAATGGAGTGAGTAATTCCAGTTTATATTTAGTGACTATATTTAGTGACTATGAGAAAATAGGTCATTATAGCAAAATGAAAACGCTTTTCTGAAAATCCATTCATTTAACATGAAAGTTTAAGGAGGTTTTCTGTTGTGCTATCCTTTTGAGGTTCTGGTTATTTTTATCATTAAAAGGTTAAAACCGGGCTATTTTAATAAGAAAGGCCAGTGTGAGTCACTGATACTATTTCAGCCTTAATTTACACAACTCACCTGAGGGTGAGGTGGGCTTAGGTTGGGCTGTAAAGGAGTAAAGTGAAGGAGTAAAGTGAAGGAATAAAGTAAAGGAGTTTTGAGTGTTGGTGTCACCAGTGCCACTCTGGACGTCAGGGACCACTGAGGCCCCTTTGGGATTGACCCCCTCATTCCAGCACCATGATCAGCCAGGAAAGGCAGGGATTGCACAGGGAAGGGCACGATGCTTGTGGGCAAACCTCCCCCTCCAAACTGCGTCGGGAGTAGTTTTGTTTTAAATGCTATTAAAATTTCAACTGGCCAGGCTGTTGAAAGGGGACAGCTCTGGAAGTGCCGCAGGTTTGCAGGGCAGAGGAGGCTCCTGGGCTGCCGGGAAGGGCAGAGCAGGCGGCAGTGCCGGAGCCTTTGCCCGTAGAGGGTGCACGAACTGCGCTCTGCAGAGCCACGCTCCGGCACAGCCCAGCGCTCGCTGCGCTTGGATGCCCGGCAGAAGCAGAAGGAAAAACAAGGCAAAAGAGCCAAGCCTCTGATAAAACTGGGAAGTAACTTAGAGAGGAAAATAAATGAGAAAATTCGGTGTCTTTTGGCATTTCTGGTCTGACTGGCCTCTGATTCCCCCAACCCTGAGAATGGCTGGAGCCCAGGTGAGCTTAGAGCTGTCACCTGCAGTGCCCCTCTTGCTGGGGCTGCTGCTGTGGCTGTTTGGTGGCATTAAAATCAGACTCCTGAGAGGGTGAGTGATGGAGGTGTCCCCTGCTGGGATGAGCCACCTTGCCATCAAGTTCTGCCAGCCCCAACCCACGCCCTGCAAATGCACCAGGGCATTTCCCTGTTACAGCCCTCCCTCCCACCGTGCCTGCAGGTGACACTAACCATGTCACAGGGCCAGTGATGCTGGTCCCTGTGCACCCCTCACACAGCCACAGGGAGTGTTGTGCTGCCCCAGAGATCCCAGGGCACAATTCTGTCCCATGTGCCACATCCAGAGGCGATTTATTTTAATGGACACGGCACCGGGGTCTTCTGAGACGTGAGCACATAGTGGAGGAACCACTCAGCCTGAGATTTTCTCTGCTCATTTGAGGAGACTATACACCAGCAGATAAAAGGCAGCAATAAATTTCCCATCGGCTATTTTGGGATGCAAATTACAGTTATCTCATGCAAAATCCAAGCAGAAACGATTCACTCTGCTGCTGCAATTGCCTTGCTCCGGGAGGTCTGTGCTCCACGCTATTCACAGGGAATTGTTTAACAAGACCCATTTACTTTGCAGCAGGTTGTTTTCATGGTGCTCCTTTATTTTTCCACAGCCTGCTCCCAATTGTGGATAATTTATTGGCAAGTGTCCTGAACAGACTTCTTCCTAATCTGGTAAGTCGGAAAAATAAAACATTCTGGGAAGGAGCAATGGGTGTGAAAACATGTGGTGCAGCTCCCTGTGGTATCACTGGTGCCTGGAGCAGGAGCAGAGCCACTGTCTCAGGCTGCTGCACCCACCCAGTGCCTTGGGATCAGTGGGAGACACATTCCATGGCTCCACCAGCTTGGGAGAAGCTTCTCCTTCCTTCCCAATGCAAGGTCTGCCCAAATGCTGGGAGTTCCTGATGATGTCCTGGACTGTGCTATGGACTCATGGAATCTCTCCTCCTCCTGAAAGCCCCAGGGTGTTTCTAGCCATCCCCCTTGGGCTCCTGGTTCTCCTCCCTTCTCTGAGGAAGGTGCCCAGGGCCAGATCCAGAGCAGGGCCACCATTCCAGGTGCCCAGGGAAAGCCTGGCAGAGCCAAGCAGGGCTGTGTGTCCTTCTCTGGCTCTGAATGTGGGTTCTCACTGACCTTCCCCAACTCTTGTGCTCAGCATTGCCCTGGGACTCATCAGTGACCAGCTGGGACACCCAAACTGTGAGAACACAGTGGGTCCTTGTCCTGCCTTGTGCCGTGTGTCACCCAGTCCAGCTGAGGGAGGACTGGGACACCTTTCCCTCCTCTGGAACTGAGACACCTTTCCCTCCTCTGCTCCACCCTGGCCCCAGATCTGCCAGGAGCAGGGGTGCACAGGAGGTCCCTGCCCAGAGCTCTTCTGGATGAAAAGAATCTTCAGGCAGGGAGGGGGATTTGCAGCAGAGTCCAGCAAGGAATCACAGATCCCTTCCTCTCCCCTCTGCACTGGTGTCCCTGGATTTGTGGGCAGCATCCACTACAACCTGTCCTGCCTTCCCCTGGTAACTGGCCAGTTCTTCAGGTGGACTTGAATGTGAGTCCTGCATCTTCCCCTTCCATCTGTGCACGGGGCTTGGGATATTTCCCTTAGCTTCATCAAGGTGTCCTCAGCCATGTGCAGCTGGGCAGGGGGCTGTGGAAGCTGGCAGAGCTCCTGGCTTCATGCCTTGCTCTCACCTCTGTCATGGGAGAGCACAGCAGGGTTTAGGTTTCACAAACTCTTGGAGAAGGAAGTGTCACGGGGGTGAGGCCGTGCGTGCAGCCCTTCCACAGCGAGGGAGAGTGAAGCTGACCGTAAAGGCAAATATTGCAAACATTTGGACCTGTGTTTCCTTCCCCTGTGACTCCACACTGTCATTGGGTGTGTGGCTGGAGCCTGAGACTGTCCCCAAACCCCCACGGGCCCCCATGCCACCCCTATCCCCACAGTGGACACCACCTCCTCCCGCTGGGCCTCCTGATGAACTTCTGCAGCTGAGATACAGCTGTGCTGGGCTGCAGGAATTCAGGATCAGACTGTCCTGCAGAGCAGCACTGTGCAATTGCTGCATCAGGGGGCAATCTGCTCTGCAGCTTCTGGTCACTGTTTGTGCTCCCACCAGCAGAAACTTTTCATTTTTGTGTGTAGCCAGATTCTCAAGGGATACCCTGAGCCACATGAATTGCTGATGGGAATTGCAGTCCCCACAGCACCAGTGGTGACCTTAAAGAAAAATACAGGTGATCCAGCTCACAGCTGTGATCCAGCTCATAGCTGCAGCAGAAGTGATGGTGATCCACCCAGATGATGGTGATCCACCCAGGTGATGTCCCTCTGCCTTCTGAATAACATGTGTATGAAGGAACAGCCCATGCAGAAATTCCTTCTAGTGCTTCCCCTCACCACAGGGCAGTTTCCCCACAGATGGAAAGCCCAGTTTCCCTGGGCTGCAGCCTGGTCAGAGGCTGGAGGAGCCACCCCAGCCCTGACCTCTTTGTTTGACCACAGGACACCTTGAGGAGACAGGGGCTGCACATAGAGGGGATGGAGTTTGGGGCTGAGACCTGGGGAGCAGTTCAGCAGTGACCTCCCCTCTGTGCTGGGCTGGTTTGTGTCCCATAGCTGTGCTGGGAGAGGGCATTCTCCTCCCAGGCTGCTGAAAATTGACCTCACTTGCCTGAGGATCCTGAGTGTCTCTCTACACCCAACATGGCTCAGCAGCATCTTGGTGTTATCCCTGTAAATGTTGCATCCTGCCTGCATTCTTGAGCAGGAGGAAGACACGTGTGTTTTCCATGGAACATTGTGTTTCCAACTCTTTTGTGGGTGCTCGGAAGGGTGTGGGTGTACTTTGCATTCTTGTGCTCAGGTTCAATAAAGGCCAGCCCTCTCTGCAGCCACAGCAGGTGCTCAAGCCTGTGGGGGTGGCCAGCTCTGGTGAGAGCCCTGGGCTCGGGGCAGACCTCAGGTGGGAGGGCTGCAGTCCCCTTTGGCCACCCCCAGCTCAGGGGGTGCAAATGCTGTGCCAGACCCAAACATGTCAGACTCTTCATGGCCTGGGCCCAAAGCTGTGGGGCACCTTGGTCATATTGGGCACCCATCACACCCTCACCTGCCCTGGGCTTTGTCCTGCGAGCACTTAGGGCCCAGGGGGAGAAATCACTCAGCAATGCCCATGAACTCTGCATGAACCACATGAAACTTCTGCAAATTGAAGGCTCTAAAGGCACCCATTTCTCCTGGGTGAGAGGGAGTAGCTGGGACAGCTGCAGCGTCACTGCTTGTGAGACTGTCCTGCCCTGGTCCAGCCCAGATCCACCCTGAAACACACATGGAACATCAAAATCAGATTTTCCTGTCATCTTTGATGCTCCTTTTCCTTTCTCCTGTTATTTCCCTGTTTTCTTTTATCTGGTGTCTCTCAAGCCTCCTTTAAACTGTGGAGCTCTTCCTTGGACGCACAGCTAGCTCCTGCTTGCCTCTGGGGCACAGGCAGTTTTCTCAGAGCAGAGGGTGCACCACAAAGCCAAGCTCTCCTTCATTTGTTTTGCAATTTGTGAGGTTTCTGTACGCAATTAGCTCATTGGGAGGTAATTGCTCACCTCTCACTGTCCTTGGACTCATTCTGCTCCATTTGATGGTGCAGAGCTGTCCTGAACCAGCCCTGGG